TCGGCGCTTTGCGACAATATGAGTCGGCAAGTTCCGGACAGAAAACCGATCTGTAGAGACTCGTCGTCGGAGATTTTTTTTTTTTTTTTTTTGAGAACAGGCGAAAACTAATGCGCGCGTGGATGTCATCCATAAAATTAAATCGGTGTAGCTAAGCGGTACTTTCAAATGGGAAAGTGTTAAAATTGAATAATGGCCACCAAAGTACTGGCCCATACACCATATTTCAAAATACTCAAAATGAATGTTCCTTGATACATTGTAGATGCACGTCGATGCCTATTTGCCATATATAGCCTAAAACAGTCTCTAAAATACATAAGCAACATTATTGCCGTTTCAACAAAAACTCCGATGTCCACAGTGTCGAGCACTGCACTCAAATACAACATTACAAGGACACGCACCTGTTGCTGATTGGATTTCACAAGAGCAGCTTCTGTGCTGTCGTTCACTGAATGATACTTCCCCTCTACTGACTTTTTCGAAATATTGCAAGTAATTGACTGGCGACCACTCTTTCAATTATCTTAGAAAGAAAGGGCATTTGACACTGGGCGATAGTGTCAAATATAAGGCCCGGCATCTTCATGAAAGAAAAAAATACTGATCGTTCAAACTTTACAGAAATAACACTCCGAACAAATGATAAATTTAAAATACACTAAACACATCAACGAGACAACCAGTTAATACTTTAGGACCCTATTCGCGTTACTTGGTGGGTGATGAATTTAACACTTTCACAATATTGACAATAAACAATTAACAGGCACAAAAGTACTGGTGTCACTAAATTTTGGTATAATCATATAAATAATATGAACGCAAAAAAATATTCAAATGCCAAATCTGATATAGTACATCTTTCCCGGTATTTGATAACTTATCGTTGATTTTAAATAATTGCTTTTGGTCTTCCACATTCTTAGTGATTGCATGCGAGAAATACTCGACTTTAAGGTTCTGTGTTACACAGTTCATTTCATTCCTCTTTTTTCGACGCAATAACTGCTTTCGCTTTTCAAATTTGCTCTTTTCAAATAAAAAAATATGAATAAAAAAAACACCAACTAAATTATATTTGGAAAAAAATCTCTAACTAGGATCTTATTTTAATGAGATTGCCTTAGTCTGTATGAACATACACATCAGGAACACATGAGAACCGACTCCGTTAATATCAATTTACGAAGACTTTAAATATCTAAATTTACAGAGGGTGTGTATTTCGGGAATTTCAGGAGTAGATCTCATGTAAATATCTAACGGGCGAATTCTTCTATTTAAAAATCGTCATACTCATAAATAAATAAGTATTAACAAAAAATTACAGCAGCGCTATTGTTTTGAACTATGTTGTCCTCCAATAACAAATACTGTTTTTGAAAGATATAGTTGTATAACCAAAACAAAACTTCAGGAGGTTATGATTTTAGAAAAACTGCACAGAGAAAATTGCAACCCCCCCAAAAAAACTAAACTTTTACACGGAAAATTATAGAAAGGAAACTATATTTATTCAACTACTTTAACAAACTTGAAAGAGGAACGTATACAAATACAGAAACATCATCTTGGAAAAAAAACATCTAGCTCAAATGTGAAGTAAAAATATGCAGTTTAATTTCAATCGGATTCGACAAACGTGAAAGTGTTGTGGGGGAATTTCCACGCTTAACCATGCTGTACACATAAAAGGATGGTCTTGTTAGATTAAGTAATGGTATCTCAAGACAATACCCCCCCCCCTCAGAGATTGGGAATTCGACATTGACCTATAAACAAATTTAAATTCAAATCGTTCGGTTTTTGTAGCAGACATTTGGTCTGCGCCTTTCATGCAATATGCGAGATCTCAGAGTGAATGGAATATCAGCTATTATGTAAGGATGTTGGATTGCATATACTTAATGGTAGAATGATTTCCGATACACATGGTAATGATATTTGTATAGAGCATGTAGATGATAAACAACAGCTTTTTTCGTGAAATATAAATAATCTTGATCAGCCACGTAGTTTGCCCACATATTTGATTTCGTAAAAAAACGTAAATTGTGCAATTACGTGTAGTGTGTTAAGGGGATTGATCCGAAATTTCGAACAAGCATTTCACTCTGGAGATGCATTCTTTATTTAAACAAACAGCCTCTCGGTCCGGTTCCGGAATGCTAGAAATGCTTGATTTTTGATGATTATTAGGACAAAAATGACACCATTCGGCCATTTTGAATCGGATTGTTAACCAATATATCTATATAGCTATCAGATTATGTATAAGGTGAATAGTATGACACTAGAACCACACTAATTAAAGAAAAATGGCCGCCAGTTTACCAATTTGAATCTGATCTGGAAAAACCAAAAGACGTGCATAAAGGTCATATGATAACTATGCACCAAGTTTTAAAACAGCCGAGAAATGCTTGATGTCGATGATTTTTCAGTACAAAAATGCCCGCCATTTGGTCATCTTAAATCGGACCATGAAACAATTTGATGTGCATATGTATAATATTATGTAAGATGTATGTGTGAAGTTTGAATGTAATCGATTCAAGCATGTCTAAGATAAAGGTCCGGACGAGAGATTTTCGTATTTCGATTTTCCTAACAGTACCTGTAACGTCTAATTATCACTAATATATGATTAAAACATGACAGATTGATTGAAAAATGCCAAACTATAATTTCCATCT